ATAAACAGCAGCGAGGCGAGACGGACGGGGAAGTAGGTGGAAACTGGTAGAGTAAACCAAACGCAAGCATAATTCAATGATATCATTCAGATGAGTCAATGGAGATACGTACCGCCAAATTCTTCTCCTAACATTCTCGGGGTATCCCAATCTTAGGAAATAAAGCATATCAGAACTTAGTAAGACACTCCAGTTTTCCGGGTCGAGTTGGTGCTGGCCCCATCGGCACAGGCGGCCTTTAAGCTCGGCTCTGCGCAGTCGTAGTTGGGTCTCGGTGAGGGCCCCTGCAAACGGACAAACCGACTTCTTGACAATCCTCGAGGGGCCCCCTTGGGACGCAAAGCTTTCATTTTTGTGGATGACCCACACTTTAATCTCAGAGAAATTTACATGGAGCTCGGCCTCCAAGAACTTGAGGACCGCCGTGTCTTTCCCAAACCGAGCTTCATCTTCGATGTTAAACTTCACTATACGGCCGTAGACACGTTCAACGTGCTGACACAGACAGGCACGACACATTCGGGGAGATGCGAGGAACAAGTTATCAACAAAGCGGCCACGAGCAATCCTCTGACGGCTTCGCGGGTGGGCTCGATCACACAGCCACTCCGCTTCAGAAAGCACGGCGTGTAAGATAGCACCACTCAACGGGCCTCGAATGGGGATTCCTTGGCATTGGTGTAAGATAAGTCCCAGAGCTTTAAACTATCGCATTCTCATGAATCCCGTAAGGGCCCGCTTGAGGCTTCCAAACAGAATGATAGTTCGATCCCAGAGCTTGGCATTGATAGAGCCTCCCAAGAAGACGTGGCTTCGCTTGCTATGGAGAATCGTGAAAGCCTCCTTGGGGGTCGCCTTCCGCGGTCTCTCAAAGAAGCGGTCAAGACAGCCCCAAATCGTGGTCACAGGGATTTCCTCGTAGGCCTGCCCTGCGTCAGCCACAGGGGTACCTGGAGCTTCCATTGGGGTCCCACACCAGAGGCACTTAGGGTTCAGTGAGGCGTTTTTCTCTAGCTTCGCAAACTGCGCCACCAAATTCGGGACGCCGTCCTCCAAGCCGCGGCGCGCCCAACCTGGGTTCACGGTCTCCACTGCAAAGACCGTGCGCGGCTCAAATACCTGCACAGGCGGCGAGAGGGAAGCTTGGCAAACGAGCAAATGTTCCTGACGCACGAGTGCTTCGGCTTCATGCATTGGTGGCGCCCAGCCTCGGGAGGGAAGTCAACGTCCAGCCGACAGTTTGCCTTTACAGTCGGGTAACAGTATGGAACATTCTTGTGGGTAACCTTTCCCTCCCTCCTTTGTCGTAGGCTTTTCGGGATTGTGCTATCGTAGAGGAGGCGGTACCAGTCCGCGACCGCCGACAAGGATGCAAGGCTAACCTGCCACCGATGCGGAGCGCAGGCAAGGATGCTGAGCCATCTCGCCATCATATACTTGGGGCCCACCTTCCAGAGGCTGTTGGGGTCCTTATCTTCTAGCGCAAAGACCGCGTCGGAGTGCTCTTGGAGGGTCTTAAAGAACTTCTGGGAGGTATCCTGTAGGTACTGGTCTCTGGGGGCCAGTGGGGCTCGTTGGGGCTGAAAACGAGGGGGGGCTGGAAGGAAAACTTCGTCCGCACGTCCCCAGAGTCCCATGCGCTGTGCCCAAGCACGGCAAGACGTCCCCAATAATTGCGCGGTCAACCATCGGGTAGACGTCGGGGTCTTCGCATTCACAGACAACATCTGCATGTCGAGGCCCTTAGCGGCCCTTTCGAGATCCAAGGCAGTGAAACTTTGAAGGGCTGTAAAATGTAATCGTTGACACACCCGAGGAAGATTGTGGCAGGTCTTGCGGAGGTTCGGAATACTTTTGATCACGATCCGCGTCTGCCCGCGAAAGAGGCCTGCCCAGCCAGGACGATGCTGAGCTAGCCGTGCAACCACCTGCTGGATCCAACGAGACGCAGCGCCCTTCTCTTGTTCGGAATGTACCTCAATCGTCGTCATTCCTGGGACTGGCAGCCCCTGGGGCTGCAGGAAGATTCGCAAGGACGTTTGAACTCGGACTTTATCTTGCCAGTGGGGGCAAAGCGAAGCCAGGGATCAGAACACATGGGCGCAGTCATTATTCCCAGGGCGGGAGCGACGCGCGAGGTCCCAGGAGATGTCCAGGTGGTGCCCACAAGCCCATCGTAGGAGTAGTTTCGTCATCTTTGGCTCATATATACCCAACGGTCCCAGGACGCCTTGTTTTGAGTGTCGGTCCTGGATCAAAGTGATATAAAGCTCATCAAACGTAAGTCTCAAGCGGTCTTGCCATATAATATCGTGTCGTAAGATACTTCTGATGCCCCAGGACTCTAGTGAGAAGGGAATTGACGCGCTCCTCCATCCAATGAGCGCTCTCAGAGTGCGGCACAGGGCTATGGGACAAAGCTAGCCGACGGGCCCGTCGTCCTCGCCGACGGCGTGGGCCAGCTCGAACTCGCGCACTCCTGCGGCCCAGCCGAACGTTGGGTTGGTTGTTGGCTGCCGGCTGGGCAAACATAATGCAAGCACTCTCGAGGCTCGAGATCTCGGGCGAGGGAGCTATCAGAACAAAGAAAGACAAGAGCCAGCGCTTACATCCTTGAAGTAGACCATGATAACGACTAGCCTCTTTTACGGGTTTACCTTTTTGGACTTGGAAGAGACCTCGGACATGTTCCCGAAAACGTCCAACGCCCCCCGAGGCCTGCCCATGGGCCCTCGTGATACTTCCTTTGCCAATGTAGAGGACCTCGGAGCCTAACTGGTACAGGTAACTGCTATTGGGCATCTTCGGGGGGTTCAGGCCTCGCAGGCCCATGTACTGAGTACGTAGGAACAGCGCTAGTTCAAGTGCATGTGGTAGTCGTGCGGATTCTGGGCGAGCAAGGGCCTCTGTACACATAGGATGGAGGCTTCGACAAAGTTGACGGGCTCTCCATCGTTGGCGTCTTCCTGCAACAAAGAGGCCACGAATCTGACACACGGACATCACTGCCGTTACAGCAAGAGCTAAAGCTGATATCTCATGTGGGTTCCCTGGCTTGTCCATGAGAGGTAGCAAGGCACATTGGAGATCATGAAGTCCCTCAATAAAGACCGTAGAAGGTTGTGCCACAAGTACCTGCCAGAGACCCCCTGCAAATAACAATGTTATTTCCTTCGGAACATGTAGATCAGAAAACATAGGTTCAATAGGAATGTTCGAAGCCCAACTACAAAGACCATACACATCAGAGTAAGCGCGGAGACGTACTTGAGATCCCGTGAGGTCATCATACTGAAAGGGTCCGCGCCGACTCCGAAAATTGCGAACACAACGGTCGCCGTGGTCCTGGAGAGGGCTTCCGTGTACACCAGAGGCAAAACTGCACACCAGGATCCAGGGCTTACTTCGTATATTGAGATGTCGATAGCGGTGGTCTGGGTGCCGAAAACTATGGCCCGCGTGCTCTCGATCGTGGGGCACGTGGGGTCGGGGGGGGGATGCGTCTGCAATCGCGCCGCCGAGATCGATTCAGCCACCATTGCAGCACGGTCACGGAAGAGAAGGTAGTACGCAGAGCCAACATGTGTCTCCAGTCGCGCCTCCGAGGTCGGTAAAGCCACCATTGCAGCACGGTCTCGGAAGAGAAGGTAGCACACAGTTCCCACAGGCGTCTCCAGTCGCGCCACCAAGACCGATTCGGCCACCATTGCAGCACAGTCTCGGAGGAGAAGGTAGTACGCAGCGCCAAAAGGTGTCTCCCGTCGCGCCGTAGAGATCGAAACGGCCACCATCGCAGCACGATCACGGGGGAGAGGGTAGTATACATCTCCACCCCACTGCGCCACCACAACCAAGAAACACGGTAGTTGGCCACCATCACGGATATTGGCGCACACGTTCGGGAAACAGTCATCGGGAAACTCGTACAAAGAACAGTACGTGGCAAGAACATGAATACAGAACTGGCAAACGTGAATTGTTTGGTTCCTTCTGTCGCGGCTGCGGTACATGGGGACAGCTCGTCCCCACTCCGATCCCGCCGCGTACACACTTCGAAGTGCGGTAGAAGCTTATCGATAAGGTAGGTCGCCCTGTGGATCGTATCTGCCCTTGGCGCTCCTGGGGTCCATGAGGTCGTCCTTGGGGTCTCCTTCTGGGTCCTCATGGGCCTCGAGACAATTCGCAGAGCACCCCAGACATATTTTATCACAAAGCAACCAACGAGAAACAACTGTAGTGTCATGGAATCGGCACGAGCCCACATGTGTGCGCCGCTCTCATCAGAGCGTCTTCAGCGCTAGCCTAAACCCGTGCCGTGATCGCCTGAAGCATAAACAGAGGTGCGTACTAGGAGAAAGAAACGCTCATGTAACTGCCCGCATTCAATTACCGAGCTCCCAAATGCATACATAGCATTGCTGTCTTCTGATCATTCAAACTGCAAGAAAGCACACGCACACACACACACACACACACACACGCACACACACACACACGCACGCACGCACACACACACACATATATATATATATATATATATATACACACACGCTCACGCATGTTTCCCTGGCAACGGCATGCCCCGCAACACGGTGGCAACTTGTAGGCAAAGCGCAATGAGAGCGAGAGGCCAGGCGCGGGCGTGGCTGGGCAAGAACCGGTACACACACGCACACGCACACGGACACGCACATACACACATTTGCTTCCCGGCCAGTTGGTTCATCTCAGCGATGAGAATAGTGGGGTGCGCGGTGGGTAGTCACCAGTCACCGTATAAGCACTGTTGATGACACGCGCACGCGCGCACTCACACAGTCGGCCGTTGGCGACACACGCTGGTATTGCCAAGATAGCATATGGCATGAGCCATGCTACAGACACGCGAACAAATGTTCGGCAGCGCCTGTACAAGCTTCGAGCGCGCTCAACTGTATGGTGCCCCGCGCGCTATGTTTGTGTGCTCTTCTGCATTTGACGCTGGGGCAGTGTTCCCGGAGGCGGAGTTCGAGGAGGGCCTGTGGCACCTCATCCAGGGCAACAAGGTCTGCCGTTTCGACGACGTCCTGTTTATCGTTTGAGTCCTCAGGGGCCTGGTACGGAGCGGTCGATTTGAAGGGAGGCTGAATGAGGAGGGAGGAGACGGAGGGCAATGTTTGATGGGCCATCGAGATCCGAACTCGGTTCGGCACTCAGGGGCGAGGTGGCGCTCGTGAAGATGCGGGGCGCGCACCGCTGCGCGCGACAGCCGACGGGGAGCACTGTCCTGGTGGGGATGCAGGCCAGCCCGCTGAAAGCCAGGGGGCCAAAGGTGGAGTATAATGATCCCTAAGGGCTTCGCCCCATGCCGCCGGCCCCCTGTCTCGGATAATGGGAAATGCAAAAGCTAAATCTTCAGGTCTGGGCGCCGCCGTGAAGCAGTGTCGGGACCTGTTTGTTTTTCGACCCTGACCTACGGATCTGCGTCACGGGTGCCACAGAGTTTCAGACATGTGGCACATCCCTCGTGTTTGGTAAAAATGTACACCCCTCACGCAGATCGGCGGGGTCAGGGTCCCAAAAAGCTTTGGATTTGCCACATTTCTGACATTCGGTGGCATCCCTCACGCAGATCGGCAGGGTCAGGGTCAAACAAACACATGGGATTTGCTATATTTCTGACATTCGGTGGCACCCCTCACGCAGATCGGCAGGGTCAGGGTCCAACAACACATGGGACTTGCCACATGACAATCGGTGGCACCCCTCACGCACTCGGCGGGGTCAGGGTCCAACAACACATGGGATTTGCCACATTTCTGACATTCGGTGGCACCCCTCACGCAGATCGGCGGGGTCAGGGTCCCAAAACACAAGGGATTTGCCACATTTCTGAAATTCTGTGGCCCCCCGCACGCACTCGGCAGGGTCAGGGTCCAAAAACACATGGGATTTGCCACATTTCTGAAATTCGGCGGCACCCCTCACGCAGATCCGTAGGGTCCCCAGCAATTCAGAGCACACGCTCAGGGCGTGGTACAAATTCCCGGTTAAGGCCTCCCCCCCTCGCGCGGCCCATCGACAAGGAGCAGTAAGCAGCAAGAAGTCAACAAGGAACAGTGAGCAGCAAGAAGCAGAACTGTAACAGTGGAAACTGGACGCTGCAACTGGCACATGAAACTGCGAACCTTCGTCCTACAGACTGGTGGCCCCACAAGGGGGCCGGCGGATTACACGTGTGCATTCGGTGTATGGCGTAATCATCTTTGTGTGATATCTGCCTGCTGACGTTTGTGCGTGTTTGTGTGGACCCCGTCGAGGAGCGGCCAGCAAGGCCCAGAGGACCAAATAGCTGCTCTCCGCGAGAAGGGTCAGCACCACGTGGGCACCTGGAACACACATGCCCGAGAGCCAGTCAGCGGGCCACAGGGGCCCTCATTCTGAGATCATTCCCGAGGCAAGCACGGCGCTTCGACCGCCACTTCCAGAGACCCTACAGGCTCCACCAAGGCGCACAGGCCCAGGCGTCAGAACAGGACCGCCAGGGCCCAACGGGCGGACCCAGGCACTTCGGCCCAGGAGCCGCGAGATTCAAACGGCGATTCATCGAGCCAGCTCTCCCTCACAGCTAAACTGGACGACAGGCGCGCCGCTGCGCGCAGCGGACGCTACACCGCGCAGCATACGCATTCGGACACGGCCGAAACTCGATCCTAGCTCGATCAAGCCGAAGACCTTGCGCAGCAGTCACGAGCATCCTCCTCATCAGGCGGGACCCCCCCGGGCGCCGTCCAAGAAGAGCACTCTGTCCCTAGGCCAGTCCTAGCGCTCACGGCCGCGCTGCCTGGTCTTCACCTGGAGGTCGCGCCGCAGCTGGGACTTCAGCATCTCCCGGGGCTCATCCGTGAGGGCGGGGGAAGCCTCGAGCGAGCGCGACACGTCGGGCGCACGGCAGCGCTGGAGACAGGGCAAGTGCTCCGTCCGCACCGTCGCTGTTGCCACGCCGTTGGAGAGAACGTGCGGCTGTCGCCCCCAAAGCACGACGACCGACCGATCGGCGAGCGCGGCGGCTACGACTCCACGGCGGCCGATGGGCTCGGGCGGCAGGCCAGGCGTCGAGAAGGGCGCGGTGACCTCGAAACGGTGGCCTTCCGCCAGGGCCACGGGCCACGGGCACGCCAGCGGCCTCGCCTGGCTGAACATCCTCGACCTCGCCGCGTCGAGGCACGGCTGGGCATCCTCGGCCTCGACGTCGCCGGAGCCCTGGAGCTCCTCGACCTCCTGCACGCTGCTGCCCCCCAGAGGCCTCGCCATCTGGACGGCTTCGTCGGCGACCATCGCCGCCGCCGCCGCAAAGACGACGCTCCCGTCGTCATCCACGTCCTCGTGCACATCCTCCTTCATGTCGTCGCCCTCCTCCTCGCCGTCTCCCCTCGTCGGTACGGCAGTCGAGGCGTCGGGCGGGGCGGAGGGCGCGGAGGTCTGGGCGTCGGGCTGGACGTCCGCGTCGTCCATCCATCCCCATGGCCAGGGATACACGTCCGCCTGCGCCGCGGCGGCAATCACCTTGACGTCGACGGAGGCCTGGCCCCCGAGCCTCCGAGCTCCCGTCGCCGCCCACCTGCGCGTCCAGCACGCCTTCCAGGGCGCCGTGGACGTCGTCGAGGTCCTCGGGCTGCGCAGAGGGCTGGGTGTCGGGCTGGACGTTCGCCTCCAGGTTTGCCGCATTGTCCACGGCCGCGCACGCCTCGCGCCAGCGGCAGCCCACAGCACCGACCGAAACCTGATCCCATGTGCGGCCGAGGGCTACTCCACTCCATCACGAGCGGCTCCTTGACCACCGACAGCCCAGCGTCCGCCGCGTCCCCGATGAAGAACCGAGAGCCCCCAGCAGCCGCTGCAACCTCGCCCTCGGCTGCGAGGCCCGTCACCTCGGCCAGGCCGGGAAAGGCCGGCACCACCGCAAGCGTGCCCTCTTCCAAGCGCGCTCGCGAGCCGCGCGGCGCCAGGCTCACGGGCGCAGGCGGCGAGGCGAGGCCGGGCCCTGAGTCGGTGCCGAAGGAGGCGCCGAAGGCGGCCTCGGGCGGGCGGCCGAAGGCGGCCCGCGCCGCAGCAGCTCGTCCACGGCCATCGCGACGACCCGCTGCGTCTCGTCGCGGAGGGCGCCCGCCGTCCGCGAAGGCGCGGCCGCAGAAGCCGCCGACGGCGGCGAGGAGCTGCAATCGGTGGCAAGATCGGAGCGGGGCTTCTGGCGGCCACGCTGGGCCTGCCTGGGCTGGTGGAGGGCCTCAGCCAGCGCACCAGCGCCGTCGCCCACCGCCACGTGCGCCCCCGTCTTCGCAGCGCCCTCTTGTGCCCCGAGGGCACCTGTCCCGCCATCAGGTCGACCATGGCGGGGCACATGGCCTGGAGGCGAATTCGGTGACCTCGTCGAGCACGCTGGCCGCCAGGGACTTGATCTGCAGGCCGTCCGTCATGGCGATGCCCGCACCGCTACGCAACGCCGCCGCACCCGCCGTCGCGATGCACTTAGGCGAAACCCCAACGGCTGCCGCGCCCTGAGCAACCGCCTTGACCAGGGGCGCGAGGGCGGCGAGAGCGGCGGGGTCCAGAGACGACGCTGGAGAGGACCGTGCCATTGCCTTTGCCGCGAAGGAAGGGAAAGAAAACAGAGCAGCTCGCTACTACGAGAAGGAGAAGCCCGGCGCGCTCCCCGCTCTGGCGCCCAAGGCGGGCTTAAGCCAAAACGGCTGAGGATGCGTCTGTGCGTGCGTGTGTGTGTGTCTGTGTGTCTGTGTGTCTGTGTGTCTGTGTGTCTGTGTGTTTGTGTCTGTATATATATATATATGTCTGTGTGTCTAGGTATATGTGTGTCTAGGTGTCTGTGTGTCTAGGTGTCTGTGTGTCTGTGTGTCTATGTGTCTGTGTGTCTGTGTGTCTGTGTGACCGTGTCTGTGTGTCTGTGTTTCCGTCTGTCTGTCTGTCTGTCTGTTCGTGCGTGTGCGTGTGCGTGTGCGTGCGTGCGTGCGCTTGTGTGTATGCGTGTGTGAGTGCGTGTGTGTGTGCGCGCGTGTGCGCGTGCGTGTGCGTGCGCGTGCGTGTGCGTGTGCGTGTGTGTGTGTGTGTGTGTGTGTGTGCGCGTGTGCGTGCATGTGCATGTGCGTGTGCGTGTGCGCGTGCGTGTGCATATGTGTGTGTGGGTTTGTGTATACGTTCGTGTTTGTGTGCGTGCGTGCGTGTGTATACGTGCATGTGCATGTGAATGTGTACATGTATGTGAATGTGTATATGTATGTGTATGTGTATGTGTACGTGTATGCTTTGTATGTGTATGATGTGTATGTGTATGTGTATGTGTGTGTGTTTGTGTGCACGCGTGTGAGCATGTGTGAGCGACGCCCCATTCGACGCGATCGTGACGCACATCGCTGGAGGAGTAAAACAAATGTCTGTGAGCGGGCGGTATCTGACAATGCGTCCCCGCGTACCGCCAAGGCGAAAGCGGTGGGTGCGGCCAGGACGCACGTAGCCGTTGCTGGAGAACGGAAGCCTGGCGATAGCAGAGAGGTCCTACCAGCTGTACCTCTGGGCGTATGCCCGAAGGAGGGGGTGGACCCGCGAGGGTAGCGGGGCCGATGCCGGGGCGCTGCCAGCTGCAGCTGTCTCCCCCTCCGGATGGTTCCCTGCTGGCCGTGCCATTGCCTCGGCAGCTCCCAGCGCTCCCCGCCACCGCCCAGGTCGCTCCTCCTGGGCGATTCCAGCTTCAGCTTGCACGGCACCTCGGCCGGGTTCAGGTCATGTTTCCGTCGCCTTTCGGGTGGCCGCTATCGTCCATATCCCTTCGGCCGTGGAGCTCGCCATACCATCCCCGCAGCTTACTTCCCCGTCAGGCTTCTCCGCCTCCGCAGGCAGAACACGTCGCGTTTCAGGCGAGTATTCCCCTACTACCTCAGCTGGTGGTGACTCTCGTCCCCGCTGGTCAGAACGAGGCAGATCAGCGGAGCCGTGGCAGTACCCGTGACCCGACGTGACCGCACGTCTTCGCGAGTGGGCCGAGCACGACACCAGTACAGATTGGAAACTCCCTGAGCCACTCATTCGGTAGCAACTCATGGGAGCCGTGCATGTCTTCGAAATTCCATCTTCAGAGTGTATTAGCGTTCGCTAGCGTCTGGTAACCGATGACAGAACGCCGATTCAGCGTCGACTCTGCGTCGATTAGCGCCGACTAGCGTCGGTTAGCGCCGAGTCGCAAGAGCCAGGCAGATGACATGTGAGGCTCCCATGTGTTGCCACAGAGCGCTACAGATGTACGCGAGTACTTTGGGTCCGCCCCATCGCCTCGGGGTCACTGGAGTTGACCCCTCGGTTTGCCGCCCCGGTCCGTGAATCTGACATGGTTGTCCAGTCTCGGCGCAGCGTGTTCGCAGTCCCTGGCCTGCTCGACTGCGAGCCTAGTATCGCAGGCGATTCCTGATCCCCCAATCCCCAACTTGCCCAAGAAAAGTCTGGCTGCTCAGAAGACGAGAGGAACTCAGGGATATACCCCGTGGGAAGCCAGCCAGAAGCACCCCTATCGAGGATGGACGCCCCCCAACCGTATATTTGCGAGTTGGGTCCCAAATTTCCGGCCCACTCGGAAGCCCATCAAAGTTGGGGATTGGGGTCGACATTCCCACCGTGATGGTATGTGTAATCTTCTCTCTTCTCCCTTGCAGCCGCGTTGCCCTGGCATTCTCCTTTGCTGTCGCTACCTCAGCCCTCGCCGCGTGAGCGTTCTCCGCCCCCCCTCGCACTCCGCATGTGGATGGGGCGCTGACCAGTCCTCCCGCCGTTCGTGGCTACCACGTGCCGTTTCGCGTTCTGGGCGGCCTTCCTCTTCTTTTGCATTGTCTTTCCCGACGATCCCCACAGTGCTGGACCAGCCACTCGGTCCCAGCCCAGGCCTCCGCTGTTTCGCTGGTCCCCCCTGGCGCTGGTTGGCCACGCTACGACGGACCAGACCCCGCTCCCTGGCGCAGGCCAACGCCTGCGTGGAGGAGGGCAGGCAGCAGCAGCACGACAGAGCCGAGCAGACACCAGCTTCTGAGGCCTGGAGGCTGGCACCAACATCCACTTTAGCGGTTGACTCGGCCGTAGGAAGATGGTCCCGATCGGTTATTATGTTCGGGGCTTCCTAGGTGGCCGAAAGATCATCACCAACACCATCACTTGGGATCAACTTCCCTTAGTGGAGGCACCCCCCTGCGTTGGTGCTGGTGCCCCTGTCCAAGCCTCCAACAGTTGATGCGGGAGAACGGCGTCAGCCTAGATGCGGGTGCTTGCGAGGCGCTCGCCGCCGCGTTCGCGGGGTCCGTTCGGCATGACCAGGCTTAGGAGCTTATGGAGGCGAAGTGCGCACTGGAGTGTCCTTTGACTCACTTCGGTCAGCACCCACGCTTTGCCCTAAGATCGCTGGCGTGGCGGCGCCGTGGCGGCTGCTGTGGTGGCCTGTCCCTCCCTCTCCCTTCCTGCGTACAGCTATTGATACCGTCTGGTTGCTTATCCTTCGGGATCCTCTTCTCGAGGTGTTTATTTCGGGGGTGGACAGAACCCCCAACAGTGACACGTCGATTAGTGAATTTTCCGTTTTCGGTTTTCGAGAGGGCGCCGCGGCCGTTGTTTTCCAGGCTTGCGCCCGCCAGGTTTGGGCCTCAGGTCGATTTCACTAAACCAAGTTTTACTAAGAGGGGGTCTGTACATCCCCGATTAATCGTCGGCAGCTAGAGATTTAGAGAAGCCTGTATCTAAATACCGAACAGTACGAGCACGTGGCGCTCATGTAGCACGACAGCCCTGAACACGCGTGGCTGCACGGGAGCAAATCACATTCTCATTCACGGGAGCCTGTATCTAAATACCGAACAGTACGAGCAGTAGCGCTCGGTGGCGATTACCGGGCGTCGGCGGCTGTTCTAGACGTGGTCGCGGCAGAGGTTCATCTTCGTCCTCATCCGCTTTGACATCCTCCTGTTCGTCCTCCTCCTTTAGAAACAGGCCCCCAGACCTCTCCAGGGGTACGTTTTGACTCCAGGCGGAAACCAGCCGTGGTGCCGAGAACCCTTGCAGAATCCCAGGGGCGGCGGGAAACGTCCACAAGCCTCTTGAACCTCGATCTTCCTCAACCTCCACTTCCATCCATACCGCCTCCCTGACACTGCCCCCAGGCTGCCTCTGGACTTTACGGTCAGCCGAGCTGGAGGGTAGTGCGCTGGGGAACGGCTGAGGGCTCGGCACCATTGCGAGGGGGGAGCCACGCGCGCGCGTTGCGCGCCTCATAGGGGCAAACTTCTCCTCCTCCTCCTCCTCCTCCTTCGAGGGTGGAGTGCCCCACAGTAGAGCGCACTAGCAAGGCTGTGTCTTGCCCCTCCCCTTCTGCCGCCGCTGCCTCATCTGATGCCACCCAATCAGCGTTTGGCATGTTCTCCTCCTGCCTATCTTCGCCTACTGTCGCGGGTCGCGGACCGATTCGGACTTGCCATTGCTGCGATGTGTCTGTTGATGGCCCGCTCTACCCCCATGCTGGCGATGTCCCTCCTCCTCCTTCAGGGGAGTTTCGAGGGGAGGCCTCCCGAGGCCTCGTCAGGCCTCCGTGGAATTTGCAGACCACCAGGGGTTCGAGGACCCAGACTCTCGAAGTTGTGACGTTTCAGTTCCTAGGGTTCAATGTCTGGGGGCCGCTTCCGGAAAGTGGGACAATCAATAAACAATGTGCGATGAGACAGCAGCCCCCGGGGGGACGTCGACATGTCCATGGGGCTAAATATTCAAAAGACATCGTAACCCGGGGGGGTGGTGGGGTCTTCCTCCTCTGTTCCACCGCTCGGAGAATTCGTTGCACCTCCAGGCCACCTTCCACCTCCGCCGCCTCCTCATAGCCAGGACGTCCCCCCTTCATCCCCCCATGAGGGGGAGGGGCACAGAAGGAGCAATGGCAGGGAGGGGCGGACGGACAGGAGGGGAGCGGAGCTTATGTGCGAGAAGCAAGCAAGCATGAAGCATACCGCCATTGCCCACCACTGCAATGCCCCTCTCTGCTGCTATCGCCATCTTTGACGCCGTCAGCCGGCGCCATCACTTTCGAGGACGAAGATTTGCGCCACATTGCCGCTGTTGGCGCACGAGTGTCCCTAGCCATGGCCGCCGACGTCGCCTCCACCGATCATTACACTTATTGTAATGGAGTTTCACTCAAGCGTCACCTGTGGAATACCGTCACACTAGATACCGTCCGTTGTTGTTGTTCCTACTCACGTTGTCAACGCACACGCATGGTGACAGAGACCCAGTATGTTTGCCATAGATCATATGCATTGCATGCACACACTAATGAGCATACCGTGGCGTCAATACCATGCTTACTGTCGCATGTACGTCTTTCGTCTAGGACGTCTTTGCTGCGGGGTTAAACTCATCATCTGGGAGTGACCCTCCCATTTCCAGAACTCCCGCCCGAATGGAACGATTCAGTAGCCCTGATCGGACACCGCTCGTAACTCATGAAGTGGTATGTTGCCCTGATGCCTCCTGCCACCGACAATGTGAGCCAGAGTGACTCCCCCCCACCCCATCTTCACCATTCTCGTCCACCCATCTCCAGTTTCCACCCTCTGCTGCTCCTCCTCGATCTGGATACTACTCTCTCTCCCCGGATGCTGTCCGAGCGGGGTGCCGCGTCTCCCGCATACTGCGCATTACGCAAAGGGTCTATACATCTAACGCGTCGCATGTTCTTTTCCAATCGGAGCGTTTTTGGACGCTCCCCCGCTGCAGCGTTGGCCTCATGTCAGGATCCGCGCTTTGCTCTCGTCGTCCAGAATGGCGCCCTCGCCGCAACGCGGGCCTCTCCTCTCCAATGGTCGTCCTGCTCCTTCCGCTCCTCCTGCTCATGTTGCTGTTGCTCTTCCTGCTCGTCCGCTGTCATTGTCCCCCAACTCCTGTGTGGTGAGGAGGCGAGGGGCGCTGTATTCACAGCCGCTTGCAGCGCCGCGGTCAAGGTGCAACACGTCAGCAGCCTGCATGTGGACGACCGACCGAGCCGCCGCCCCAAGCTTGGCACGAATGGTCTCCCATCGCTCTCCCCGCTCGAAACCGGTTTTCTGGTGGACGTCATGCCCGTGACCCCTGCCAGAGTGGCCACTACGTTGGTTCATGCTGGGCGAATGCGCATTCTCCCCCAGGCCCAGCGGCAAGGCTCGGCAGACGAGATGATGGAGCAGCGCCTCCCCTGCGTCATCGGCGCCCAGTTCGGGACCGCCCGGAAAGACATGGATAATAATTTCAGTTTCGCTCACCAACCACTGCCATGAACACCGTCAAGCAAGAGCTTGCCTTTCACATGGAGATCCAGCTGGCCCCAGCGGTGGCGCGCGTCTCGGCGGCGAAGGCAGACATGGTGCTGTCACAAGATTGCACTGCTCGACTGGAGGAAGATTGCCAGCAAGTCCAACCGATGGAGCAGCGCAGGCTTGGGCGGAGAAGCGCAGAGGCAATCGACGTGGCGAGGCTTAGAACATGGGACAGGCCGACGAAAATTCAAGTCTCCCCTCTCCGCAAATCCTCACAAGTTCAAGAACAAACTTTCATGGAAGGTTTGCAAGAGTGGCCCAACTTGACAAACGTCGAACAGAGGCTTGTGCAGTTTGTTGGCCCAGGCGCACCTGGACGAAAGTTCGCTGTCGATTGTTCTGGTGCGGAGGCAGGATTTGTTCCTGCCAGGGCTACCACTCGTGCGCTCAAAGACTCGACTGTGCAATGGCGGAAGTTCTCAGCTACCGGGTTTGGCGGTTACGAGACTAACAGATCTACCAGCACCGATCGGAGCCCCAAGCAGATTCGAGAAAAAGTGCGTACCAAAAAGCCAAGGCTGATTATCAAAGTAAGCGATCCAAATGGCGAGCTGTGGGCCAAAAACCAAGGGTTGGTGGTTCATTGTGGTGATACACCCATCGTGGAGGTCGTCCCGGGATCAGCTCCCAGCGACACCAGATAAGTGGCTCGAAACCCGCGGACGACGGCGCTGTACAACATGGATATGGATGACGCCCATATGGATGACGCCCCCGAGGTTTCACAGAACCTGCTTAAGGAGGTGAGCACCTCCTGTCAACAGTATTTGTTCAGCATCGTGATATACTGTGTCTCTAGTATGCGCTAGGGGTGCACGAGTCTCTCATCAACTACCTTCGCAGATCCCCTTACGAATACAAGGTCTTGGTCACTATTGGTGGGAGACCTGGCGTTGGTGGATGAAATATTTGTTCTCATGTCATGGCATGATCAATCCACTCATGACCGGCATGGCGCTGCCCTTCGCGCGCGCTGAGCTGGCGAAAGGACAGGCCCACTGCGTGATCATCGCCAGCCCGACCACGCCCGCATCATCCACATCAGCAATATCCACAGCTATGGGCTGAACCACAATTCTCGGTCAGCCATCCGTCGGAAACCAAAATTTAACTTGACGACATGCCACTCCTACCTTGCGGGTTCTGGGCGCTCGGGGAAACAATGTTGCTCGTTCGCTTGGTTTGTGCAGGTGAAGTTTGGGAAAATCAGGCGACGCCGTCTGGCCGCGCGGGCAGCGCGCGCCCCGTGGCGCGCAGGGCTGACTAGTTAGGCAAGCGAAAGGTATTGGGCGAGACCACGTTCGGGGTGCACCTGGGCTGGGAGACCACGGTCGGGGCGCGCCAGGGGCGGGCGAAGGGGGGTCGGGGCCATGCGGCAGAGCAGGCGGTGTTAAGTTTGGGCCGCCAGGGCGTCCTAGTAGACAAGTTCCAACCGCCCAGAGGTAGTATTTGCATCCGCCACATATTGGCAGGCTCCCAAGGAGCGCCCGAAGAGGCTTTTACGATGCCCCGCAAAGGCTCGAAGGGTGCTTCAGACGCTCCTGGCGTTTTCCGTCGTAGCCCCGACGAGTGCCAAGGGCCCTCACTTCCTTCACGTCCTTCTCCTCGCTTTCCTCGTCCCTTGAGCTGTTCATTGCCGTGCTCGTTATCGCTCTCCTCATTGTCCTCCCGCTGTTCTACACTGTGTCTTTTTTTCTTCGTCGTCATCCGCGTCGCCCTCGTTCTCTCACGCCTTGCCCTGCTCGTTCTCTTCGTCGCCCTCCCTCTGCGGACAAGACGCGCTGGTTTCGAATATGACCTCATCATTGGCAACAGGCACATCAGCAACTCCGTCACGCAGACACTGCGCCTGCCTCCAGCAGCAGCTCGCCCTCCTCCGACGGCGCTCGAAGATCTCATCCTCATCCCCGCGATTGTAGACGGCAGGACAATAGTCACTTCAAGAGTAGGAGCGGAGGCGACCGCAGTGGATCTACACGCGCGCACAGACATCGACGACACCGCGACCGACGGGACAGTGAGAGACGGGACGAGAACAGAGAACGATATCGTGGAAATGAAGGACATCGCGAGGCAGACCGAGTTCCACCGCGAACATCTGGACCTTCGGCTGCACGCCCAGACGCTCTGGCAGGACGAGACCCCTGGAGAACTGCAGCGGCTGGCCAACAACGACGCGCAGGAGCTAGCGGAGGACCTGTCCAGCCTCGCGGACCTGAACACATTCTTCTCTCGCCACGTGCCAGACGTCAAGTTGCAGAAGATGTGGAAATGTTTCCCACGTTCCCTGAAGGTGAGCTTCCATCTGCTGGCCCGCCGATTGGTGGCTTGCCAACCCCGCGAGATCACGATGCCCCTCCTCTGCTTGGCGACCCGGCTCAACTGGAACAAGGGTTGGCGGCATTGGGAGAGGGTCAAGTCGCGACTGCGACGGTGCGACCCACGGCAGCGGCAAATTCGCTCATTGCTCAACAGCAGCAGCTCTCCAACGCACAGGTGCACAAATTCCTGGCTGTCAGCAAGCAGAATGCGCCCCACCTCGAGGCGCATGACAAACGCACTCACGAACAACAATCTCGAGCAGACAAGGCGGAGGCAGATCAACAACGAATGCGACAGCACATGCATGCGGTGGAACACATTTTGGCTATGGCAGAAGCGGCGGCCCCCTTTTACTCTCTGGATCTCGCGACGCGGGGCCGAGCCCAAGACCCTGCGGCGTTCAGCATTGGAGACCCGAGAGCAATGACACCAGCGGCTATCAAGACGGCGCCGGGTGAATGTATACGCGCATTTGGTGCGCCTGTTGATCGACTTATTCTTCATGGTGGCGCACCTCAACGACGGCTTCACTTGCGAGTTCGAGGCGGCGCGGCTGCCCCTGCTCGAGCCCTGGCACTCCCTCGAGAACTCTAAACATCAGCTGGCTTCCGCACCTTCAGCGGCTTCGACGCAGGAGGCGTCAATATTCCTGTCTGCATGCGTCAGCGCTGGCAAGAGCGCCGAGCAGGTCAGGCGGGAGTTTCAGACAAAACGCCTCCAGCGCATCTTGCAGGACGCTTTCGCAGGTCACAACATTGGGGCGCAGCGGGCCAAGGGCGCCCTCAC